CCCCCCCCCCCCCCCCACCCGACAACGGGCGGTTAATCAACGACAGACGAACAGTGTATATAAAACCACGCTTTTGAATTGAGGTCACCAAACTTGCTTTTGTTTTATTGTGTTATTTTTAGCGGAGCTGGGCCGCCAAGCGGAGCACCATAACTATAGGAAGAGGGACACATGAAAACATAGAAATAGGGAACCATGCAACTCTCTTTTTTCTAGCCATGTTGACCATGAAACCGGCTAGCTGCATGTATCGCCGGCGCGTGCGCCCAACGACGAAAAACGAAGATCGATGTCTCGCAACATGGCGGCCATACTCTAGCTAACACCAAATCTTGTTTTACAACGTACATCACATCCATGAGGGTCTAGAACAGCAAAAAAAAGAAAACTCCAAACTTGCCCAAATGCCCCAAGTTTAATGTATTTCTTTTTAGGTGTTAAAAGTTGCCAAAAAGTTGCCGAGCAACTTGTGGCAAGCCCTATCTGCACTGGAAATAAGCCATGCCTTAACATGCTTGAGCTCTTTCGCTTAGTCCGTCGTGCGAGACGCGAAACAAAACCGCAAGAGAAAAATGGCCGCGCGAAAGCGAAAGAGGGACTACTCGTACTCTACCATCGTCCGGATAAATAAATCATTTTCTTTGTACTTACAGCTTAGATCAATCGAGATCCCAGAGTCTCTGTAGCTCGGTAAGGGGCTACCCGAGATGGTTACCATAGTTACATATGGATTGAGAAGAAGACTCTTCGACAGATTCAATGAAAATGAGCTCAGGACGGAATTGTTACCTCGACTCTGCTCGCAGCATTCATTTTCACCAAACAATGAAATATGAAAATACCATTTGGATCACGAGCCTCCATCCCCTCAGTAACAATCTCTTGGCGACGATTTGGCGACTTACTCCCAAAAATCCAAACTTGCCCAAATGCCTCAGGTATAATGTATTTCTTTTAGGTGTTTAATTAGGTTGCTTTGTATTAGTTCCCATTGGGATAATTAGACCTTTATATACCACTCCTTGTGAATATCACACCACGTGACGCCGACCAGTTTACTCGAGGCTGATTTTTCCTTATTGTACATATCGTAGTTTAAAATAGCGAGTAACTTTTTCCTTTATTCTCTTGGTTGTAACCTGTATTCAGCGTGGCTCAGATTCTTGTTAGTAAACTCGATTATTGCTGGCGGCTCCCTCCGCTATTTCTTGTATCATTTGTCTCCTTTACTTATAATAGAAATGTTTTCTATTCGGCTAAGCGAAGAACAATAGAACAACCCATCTACTTCAATGACATCCTGGTTCCTAGAGCCACTCGTCCCTCAAAGCAGGCGGGGCCTTGGCAACAGGAAAGGGTGGGTCTGGAGACACGTAATTTGATTGGCTACATTTTGTACTGAGATTTTTACTCATTTAAGTCTGAATCAACGTGTGTTTCTTTAACGAATATATCCACTTGTTTATCGCTTCCTAGAATCTAGAGACCTTCAGGAAAAGTAAAACTGGCTTACGGAGAGATTTTGAAAGCCTCTTCTGGCCAGAATTTTACCATTGTCATAAATTCCCGTTGTTAAAATCTGTTAGTGTTTGTTGGTGCTCTGTTCAAATAGTTTGATCAAGATGAACCACTGGATACATTACCGTGACATGCAAAACATTTCGGACGTTTACGTTTTATGATCTTTTATAACATTACGGACACTTTGTTGAAACTACCTAAGGTAAATATTTGCGCCAACAAAACACGAATTAGACCGCGCCTCACTGTTTTACAGATACACCGACGAGAAAATAACACAAATTCTATCAAGTCTCAAGCAGTGTCTCAACTTGAGTTCACTCCATAAAGTAAACTAAGAGTTTTGAAGCTGCTTAAAAGTTTTATGCTGAAGTGTAAATATTACGGACTCTTAAAATTTTTGACGCTTAAAACTCTCGGACGGTTTTGCTTCCGGAAACTTTTTGTGTCCGAACTTAGAATCGTCCGAACTTTTTTGCAAGTGATGTAACTGGCCTCCGTAGCTCAGTGGTTAGAGCACTGGTCTCGTAAACCAGGGGTCAAGAGTTCAAATCTCTTCGGGGGCTGTGACACCTTTTTCAACATTTTTCAAGTTTACTGAAGTTGTATATCTTGTACATACAGTGACGTTGACCATTTTTCCTTCGTCATTTATTTTTTACGAGATTTAATTTCACGTTCAGGAGTAAATAAAAACTCCACTTTATCAGTTGTGCTGGTAGAAACGAATTTGGAAGATGTCCACGAGAAAAGCGGGTTTAATTCAAAGCGCCAACTCTCTATGTAACAACTATAATTTATATTTGAATGATTTTCATTCTGGCAGTACTGAACTAGAAAAACACCTAAGAATCAGTGATCTATGCCAACTAAATGAAATCGAAAATCACTTCTTGAAGGTTATACGCTGTTTCCTTTTTGTATAGTTGTTACAGTCGATCCTCCACTAACGGCCACCTCTGTACAGCGGCCACCTCTCCACAACGGTAACGGCCACTAAAACGCGTCCCAGCTACCAACTCCCCCCCCCCCCCCCCCCCCCCCCCCCCCCCCCCCNCCCCCCCACCCGACAACGGGCGGTTAATCAACGACAGACGAACAGTGTATATAAAACCACGCTTTTGAATTGAGGTCACCAAACTTGCTTTTGTGTTATTGTGTTATTTTTAGCGGAGCAGGGCCGCCAAGCGGAGCACCATAACTATAGGAAGAGAGGCACATGAAAGCATAGAAATAGGGAACCACTGCAACTCTCTTTTTTCATGGTCAACATGGCTAGCTGCATGTATCCCGGGCGCGTGCGCCCAACGACGAAAAACGATGCCACGAAACATGGCGGTCATACTCCAGCTAACACCAAGTCTTGTTTTACAGCGTATATCTTTAGTATTGGACGTACAGGAGGGTGTAGAACAGCCAATCAAGGGAGGCGAATTTTGCTCACGTGGACATCTCAAGCGGCTTGATAAAATGGCTAGTTCCGGCTCTGCGCAGTTGTCAAGGATAATTGAGAATTTGAACAAAGGGTGCTGTAATTTAAGGCACGCATTGCAGTGAAAAAGCCAACTGTTGGCCTATCATGTATTTTAAAGGGGGTACCTCCCGGTTTGTTCGTCTTGAAAAGTTTAGCTTCAATTTATCAAGTTAGTCGCTTGTAATCCGTGTTAATCTTCTCCTTAACCATCCTTTTTCTTTTATGGTTTATTATTAACTCTTTGGTGTTTTTCTATCTTAGTAAACTACGTTTTTCAGGTTATCTTCAATTTAAAGGTAATTTTATACGTGGCCAAAATAACTCAAAATACCGTGACTAAGCTCCATTCAAAAAACACTTATCATAAAGTAAGGAGGAAATTGATTACAACAAACTTTCAAGTCACCCTGAAATGTTGTTCTTTTGTTTACTTTATAGTATTTACAAATTTACAATAGCCGCTACCAAATTTTGCACGTCATTACCTAACTACTGAGCGTTTAACCGACGCATGCGCAGCCCTTTCGAAATAAGCGACGCTCAATCCCTGAGTAAGTGGAGGCTCAATGGCCTCATGGTTAGTACGCTCGTCTCCGGATCGAGCGGTCCGGGTTCGAGCCCTGGTCGGGGACATTGTGTTGTGTTCTTGGGCAAGACACTTTACCCTCACAGTGCCCGCCTCCACTCAAGTGTACAATTGAGTACCAGCAAATTTAATGCTGGGGGTAACCCTGCGATGGACTAGCATCCCATCCAGGGAGGAGAAAAATACTCCTAGTCGCTTCATGCTACAGAAACTGGAGATAAGCGCCAGCTTGATGGGCCACTTGGCTCGTATGCAGACTTTACCTTACGAGGTCGTTATATTCGAAACTTTAATGCATTTTGCCTATATACAGCTACTTCGAAGAACACTAGGCTAGAACTAAATTGAAACATTTCTGATATGGTATTTACAGTCAAAATAACGAGTGGAAAGCAGTAATAAATCAATTTTTGTTACATCGTTTGTTTAACAACAGAAAGCTCAGGGATCTAAAGGCAACTACTGACCAATCAGAACTCATATTTTCGAACTAAACGATCCCAAAAATCCTTGCGCGTGAAGCTGATGCTCAGACTACCCACGTGTCTCTGGGAGTGATGAGATGTTGAAACAATGCTATGTAAATTATTGGAGATACCACAAATCTACATCTACGTTAGGGAAGGGGGGGGGACGTCCTGCGAAGGGATATACCCATCACTGCAAGACTAAAGGGTAAAAAAAGTGGCAAGAGACAAAATAAAAACCTAATACATACATACTTAGATAGAAACCTAGAATCACAATTCTAATCTATTAAGTGTCTCATTAAATTGTAGAAATTTTACTAAATGTATGTCTAAACCATTGCTGGGCGATGAGTTCTTTTCAATGAGTTTCTTTAAGCTTCAGTGTTAGTAAGACACGTATAATATCTGCTCCAAACATCGGCACCACCATAGGTTTTAAACAATGTATACTCCAGGTCCTTGTGAGACTTGTTTTTCAGGGACGACTGGTTTTTCCTTCAGCATTTTGACAATAGCTTCAAGACTCATAGCCATTCTTAAGTCACCATCAACCTTTAATGTACCTTGCATATAAGCATCAAAAGCCGTTGTCTGTCCATAAAATATCTGCTGCATGTCATCCACACTCATTGTAAGTACTACATCTGGATTATCTACTGGTTTGTCAGTATATATTTTTCCATGTCCACCTCTGAGATCCAGATACCATGTCCCTCCATTTTCACCAAGGATGTTGAATTGAAACATGCCACCAATCTCCTGAACAAGGCTCTCACTTAGGACACTGCTGACCAACTTTACCAGCTGCTCAGGAGTAAGTAGGCTGGCGCCAGTTTCTCCATTTCCAGAGCAAGAAGAAGCAACTGACAGATCAGCAGGGGTGGGGAGGGTGGGTCCACTGCGGATGTTACCACCTCCCATTGCTACAAACATAAGAAGACCAAAGTCTTCTCAGTTTTGATAATATTACAAAGAGAAGTGATCAGCTACAAAATATGCACATTTTTTACTGCTCTTAGAAACAGAGCTGTTTGTTCTGGGCTTTTCATTATTGCAGTAAATGGAGCCTTCATTCTAGGTTGACCTCTCAAAACAACGGTCTCAGTTCTCCAGATTTGAATCCCATCCTCTGGAGATGCGTCATGCAGTTGGTGACAAATGAAACTTGAGATGTCACACATAAGAAACAAGATGCAATATGTGGTACATGTAACCTATTTCTGAACCTGTAATCTCAAAAGTTTACTTTCATGAGTCCTTTAACGTCCTNGGGGGGGCTCCCACCTAAAAAGGATGAGGCTGCTCATCAGAAATTTCAAAAACAAGCCCTAAGGGGTACCAAGATCCTGGTTTATGGGTGTGGCTTCAAATTTTTTTCACCCCTTAGAGGTACCAATTTAAAACAACACATTATCTCCTGTCTTATTTTTGTGGGGGAGGGGGGGAGGGNGGGGGGGGGGGGACTCAGTGCCCTAAAAGGTACTACAAAAGCTCCCGCAGTGGACCTTTTGAGGCTGAACAGGTACCAATAAGCACCCCCGTTCTATTCATACGGGAGTGCTCCCCTTGATTTTAGCTGGACATACCTGACAACATACCAGCCATGCCAGGATTAGCGAAGGTCATATTTCCAAGGTTCAAACCCTGTGATCCTCCACCAAATAAAGCGGACAGAGCGCCCACAACCTCATCAGCTTCCTTCAACACTCTGACCTCTGACCTGTGACATCAAAATAATAAAACTATTGATAAGGAACATTTACGACGATACATATTGGGTTCCAAGACACTGTTCACAAAGTATGCCTATCAATGACAGTGTACACATGTATACAAAACATGTAAATGTGAAAGTACTAAACAATTTACATTTGATCTACAAGCCATACAAGCTACTATCATGTACATACATATGTGTACGCAGTGATAAGAAAATACAGACTGTACTTACATTTCTATTCTAGTTATCTCCACACCCCAAATGGCTGCAGCTGCATTAACAACATCCTACATGTATTCAGTTCAACAAATCAAGAGTCACTGTATTAAATTAATGACAGATGATCAAGTTTGATGAAGCATTACTCCTTATTGTCACATGCTAGCTGGATTACCTGTGATCATATCACTCAGGTCACAGAATAGATAGTGGGTAGTGTAGTCAATCAGAGAACGGCATTCGTGATAGAACACTAGTAGATTCATACTAAAATTGAATAGAAACATGCAACTACCTGAACTTGTTTGTTGATAAATTTCCTATCGTGCTGAACTTCTAGAAGCTTTCTGGAAGCCAGAGAACTAACAAGTGTTGTTTGCGCCAGCATACGCAAGGAATGATTAAGGTCCTGGACTGATGTTTTGGACAAAACTGCATCTTTGATACAGAATTGTACCTCTGCACCAACTGATGCAAGCCCTCCATCACTGGTACGTATCTTGGAAGAAATAATGATTCAAAATGTTAGCAGATCTACGGCTTCAATGCTATTGTTGTTGAACATTATGCTTTGACAGTTTGATAATAGTCATCGGTTCAAATCACATCGAGACTGACAAGGCACTCTTCTGAGCTTTAGCTGCAACATCACTGTTTGAAAGTTGTTGTCAAAACTGCAAAGATATTCAGCTGCTGAACAGCCAAGTATGCTGAAACATTGTGATCTGTCCGTGTTAAGCAACCAGGATTCATGGACATTTTAGTCACAGGATTTTCAAATATCAAGTTCAATATTTTTGATATTATATTCCCTGGTATACCATGAAAAAACAATGCATAATTATTATTTTACACCATGCCATAGGAAATACAATGGCCAACATGATCAATGCAACATATGCATGGCATATGACTGGAAGGTCAGATGAAATACCGTCAAATATGCAATGGCTTTCCTGTATTCTGGTTGGCTGTATTTTCTATGGCATGGTATAAATGATTGTACCCATTTTTAGTAATACATGTACCTGTTGTGGTGGTACACTGAATGCTTTTGCTCTTGTGTCCACTCTAGTCCACACATCAATACATGGGTTAATGAACACCACTCCTAAATGAGATAGAATTTACAACATTTGCTTGTATCGTTAATCATTAACTTCATCAGTCAAAACAAATGACCTACATTTTAGTTCTAATCAGGGTCTGGATTCTAATTTTCAATTTCCTATGACTTGGTTTCTGTAGCATGAAGTGACTAGGAGTATTTCTACTACCCCTGGATAGGATGCTAGTTGATCACAGAGTTACCCCCATGATTAAATTCACCAGTACCCATATGTACACCTTTGTGGAGAGAGGCACTGTGAGAGTANCACTAACCATGAGGCCACCGCGCCTCTCACATCTAATCTTCATGTACCCATCATTAATTTTGCATATTTCATGGAATATTTACCTAAAAATTATATTGTTATAGTTTTCCTTTGATGAAAAAGTGAGATTTAAATTTAGACTTTCACAATATGGCTTGATTCAGAATTTAGAACAAACTACCTTCACTTAATGTAAAAATCACAAATTATTACAAATCATAAACTATTACAAATCATTTAGAATTCAGAAATAAATGGATACTATGATTATTTACTAACTAACCCGGTCCCTTTGGAGGCAACAGTTTTCCCAGTCTAAAGATGACAGCTTTCTCATAATCCTTTATCACCTGAGTATATCATGTCAAGGTAGATAAATTTTTTATCAAAAATCATTTAGTAATATTTTTACAAATATAATTTCCTTGTCTGACTAAATTTAAGCTGTAAATATGTAATTGTTTTGCTATGAAGGATAAATGTTTTTTGTAAGCAAAAGTCCTTCATACATGTATTTTGTTTATTCTACAATTTCGAGCATGCTCCGTAGTTGTGTGTTGTACCACAATTGTAAGCAGGCGTTTGTTGTAACATATAAATACTTCTAGTCAAACAATTCTTATCGGCTTCCCTTCGCTGAAGGTCAAGCGCATTTAAATCTATTCAAACAGCCGAAAGGCTGAAGTGTTGGGTTGCCATATAACGACATGACCTTTGAAAGGCAGTCTCCTCTTTTTTTTCGCTGATTTGACAGAATTTATCGATGTCTATTAGAAGTACAGTAGATGTAAAGCTTATTTTAGACTTAGCTTACCTTTAGACAGAAAAATAGTGATATCGGAAACGTGAAAAGGAGAAGAATCGAAGACAAGAATGAAACGAAACATTCCACGATATTCCACTCTGATGGTTTCTCTAGAATATAAAGAAGGAAAATGTGATAATAAGTAGAGCTTTGAGGATTTGAAAGGTTTAAACTTGAGCTGAAATCTGTGAATAAGCTGTAAGTCGTTTGAAAATTGCACCTGCTTTGTCGCTTCCATCGTAATACACTGCTACCTGATGCTCTGGCAATCGGCTGTAAGTGAACGCCTTCGCCATAGAGACCTCAGAAGATTTTAAACTATTTCTTTCACCCTGTAAATCTGCACAACACAAACAGGCACCACACTGACACTTGCATTCTCGTGTTTCTCAGCAGTTTCTTCCGATTTGTCTGATTTTCTAATCAACAACAATGTAGTCAGCGGTCATCCACTAAATCCAAAATGGCGGCGCCAGTTTGTCTTTTGGGGCGCAGATTTTACACGTTGAGATCTAGTCCTATTTTACTCCTTTCACGGAGTTTTGCCGCTAAAAGACATCGAAGAAAACGAATACTTGCGCCATACGAAAATCTCAAGCTCCAAGATAACAACGTTTATTTACTGAGTGATAGAGACCCCCCTAAGCACACCTTCAGTGAAGCCTTGAGTGCTCTACGCGCGTATAATATTTCATTGAGTGGGATTACAGACCAGATTGTAGAACTTCACCTCAGAGTTGACATGGGAGAAAAGAAGGTTAGTAATCTGTAAGGAGGGCTACATACTGATTGTAAATATCCCATTCAGTTAATACTTTTTGGCCCTTCATGTGGTAACTTAAAACTGAACAACTACATGTTTAGTTACTATTGGTTTCCAAACGTACTTGTCAAGGTTAAAATTAGCTTGTGAAAAGATGTCAGTCAATCAGTCAGTCAGCATCAGTCATCATTCACCAGTTGGTGTGTCGGCCGGCCAGCCAGTCAGCCGGTCGGTCAGTCTGCCAGTCAGTCAGTCAGTGGTGTGTAAAATTTGCAGACTGCACAATTTTCAGTTAATATCATTTATCATTTCCATTGTCGATAGCTAATGGTAAAGTTGCTAACTGAGTGCTATTCAGGCTGGAGTGACATTCAGGCTAACCAGACTGCTATTTAGGCCTTAATGTAGTCTGCAGTTGGCAGTCTACAAATATCATAAGCCAGTCGGTTGGTCGGTTGATCAGTTTTTCAGTCAAACTGGTAATCAGTAAGGTAATCAACCAATCAACTGACTGATCAATTGTTTATTTTGTTTGTCAACTTTCATGTAGGATCACACAAGTTTAAGGAGATTTATATCGCAAGACTGTTTTGATTTACTTTATGACTGTTTTTAATTAGTTTTGCAGATTAAGTCACATGAAGGTGCAGTCTTATTTATTATTTATTCAATTTTGCTCTTGTATTTTTCTTTGTTTTATCGCATTCAATGACATTGAAAAGGATACTGTATGTCTTGGGAAAAAGTAATAGTACCCACTCCTTTCTTGTGTTTTCCAAAGTTCTACCCAGTAAGTCACTATTTCTGTGTTAGGGTATTTCTACACAAACACCCCTATACTATAAAAAAAATTCTATTTACAAGGCTAAAAATGTTAAAAGTAAAAAACATGGAACATTTTCGACACTAGGTCGTCTTTAGGTCATCTAAGTCATCTAGGTCATCTTACTTACCCTAGTGTCGAAAACGATTGGTGCTTTTACTTTTAACTTTTTTTAGCCTTGTAAATAGAAATTATTTTAGAATCAAAGCAAATATTATGGATGTATCTATACTATTGTGCCACTAGAAGCTACTAGAAGGTGATTCATTCAATACAATGCATTCTGGTTACATTTTACAGAAGAGCAAGCTCAATCCTTTCCATGGTCTTATGTTGCTTCCTAAACCATATGGAGTGGAAAGAAAGGTTCTTGTTTTTGCTAAGGTAAAAGGCTGTAATGTATACAGTAATAGGAGTATTTCTTATATAGACACAAGTGTTTTATTGGAAAATTATATGCCACTTGTTAAGTTTGTACAAAACTACATCCACGACCCGAGAAGCATA